AAAAAAAAAAAAAAAAGGAGTGGAAAAAAAATCAAAAGCACGGATTCCCGGAATACGTTTTTCTAATTAAATATTATTAGAGTAAACGTATTCCGGTAATACGTTTTATAAATGCTTTTGTAAAATTAAAAAAAATAATTTTCCGTTATAAAAGTGGAAGGAATTCAATTCATAAATAGTAATTATAAAACGTATTTGCATAATACGTATTCAAAAACCCTAAAATTGTTCGTTAAAATTAATAATCTATATTAGACGTATTTCCGAAATACGTTTATATAGTTTAATTTACAAAAAAAAAATAATAATAATATAAACGTATTCAGAAAATACGTTTTACAATTAAATAAAAGTAGAAAACGTATTCCTGTAATACTTTTTACAATCAAATATAAAAAAAAAAAAAAAACCCTTCTCTTCCCTCACTTCAGAGACGAGATTTAGGATCCTGGAGTTACAGAAGCAGCAGCACTTCGAGCAAGCGAGCTGCGTATTGATATCTCTACCCGATCCGAATTGACAACAACGACACGAGCCTCATTTCCGGTTAATTCTTTTGCACAAGGTATATTGACTTATCTCAAATTTTTACATTGTTTTGAGTTGTTTGAAAATTGGGAATTGTTATAGTATGTTTGAATGTAGTGGTGTTTGATTATTGGGAATTGTTATAGTATGTTTGAATGTAGTGGTGTTTGAACATTGGGATTTGTTAATTGTTTATCGAATATTTGTAGTTGAATTGGAGATTGGAAATTTGTTGTAAATTGTCAATTGTGTATTGATTCATTGTTGTTTGGCTTAGGGTTTTTTGAATTAGGGTTAGAATTAGGACTTTCCATTTATTCGAAATATAGATGAATTTTATGTTATTGTTGATTATGGGTATTAGGGTTTTGGAGAATTATTTTGTTGGAAATATTTATTTTGGTTATCTATATATATATAATTGCTGGCTAATGAGCATTTAATAAAACCTATTAAATTATACCTATGTGGCAAAATTTCATTTTCCCTCCAAAAACCGTTACTTTTTATTTATTTAACCTCTCATATAATTATTAAATAATGAACACACTAATCACTTCAAAATACAAAAATTATTTTAAACTTTTGATTTACTTACAACTGACCATATAATGTGTTGATAATTTAACGTGTTTAGATGTTATTGTTGTGGTTACGATTAAATGAACTTCTTTTGAAAATAAAAAACGTATTTGAACTTCCTAAATAAATAATAAATAATTCACAAAAAAATACATACCAAAATATACATTACATCAAATATAATAAACGGAATTAAAAAAAAATAAATATTCCAGCTCTTTTAAATGTAAAATTGGCCTGGGAAAAGTGCAAGAAAAATTATTAATCATTATATGCATACAAATAACTCATAATACTTTATTTATATCTGTGCAAATGCACAGGTCAAATACTAGTTTGTTGAAATAATTGAATTTTTTTTTTTGTGTTGGATTAGACATTATGTGTTGTTGTAATTGGAAAGAATGTAAATTGTCTTTTTGCAGCAGGTATTAATGGCGCATTCTGGTGCATACTTTGTTAATTTGTACTGGCATTTTCTGAAGGAAATGCTAAAAGTGAATTTGTTTTATTTAAAGATCATCCGGATGGTTCATTGTTTATTCCGGAGAGGATATCTTATCAACAATTGGTAGAAATGATTAATGAAAATTGTTGCTTTGGAGAAGGTTGGACAATGAAAGAGATTACTTTAATAGTTACTCAACCTGATGGTTCGTTGAATTTCATAAGACTGAATAACGATAGTGTTCTTCAGTATATTTATTACCTTCCTTCTATGTCCATGGTGTATTTGCATTTATCGTTGGAGACAATTACACCGGTTACACAGGTTGAGGATGTGTGGGGATGTTACGGGGGAGTGGTGGATATTGAGGGTGTGTCTACTTCGCATCTACGTAATTTTGGAGAAGGGACAAGCTCAACAATGCAATGGGAAAATGATAACTGGGAAGAAGAAGAAGGCGATGAAGATTTCATTTCTGGTGAAGATGATTTCACAGATGAGACCTCCGAAAGCGAATCAGACAGGTCTATAAACGAGGAAAGTGAACCCGAATTGATTGAAGAGGAAGACCCTCTTCCTAGTGGTGGTCGCCACATTTATCGCGAGATGGGTGAATTGGAGCCATCAAAGATAGATGAGAACGAGTATGCTCTTCCATTATGGAATGGCGACATTGAGACCATCCGTTTGGGTACAGTTTTTAGAAGCAAGGAAGAGGCACAATCGGGTATCTTGGCTTGGAACGTTGATAGGCTGAGGGCGGTTCGGACAATAGATTCTAACCAAAAGTCATTCAAAGTGGTCTGCAGATCTAATGAAGACGAACCTTGTGTGTGGAAGGTTCGAGTGACTAAGAAACGGGTTCATGAAATGTGGGAATTAACTGAATGGACTGACAGACACACTTGTATGCAACGGGTTGAAAGAAATGACCACAAAAACGTAACCGCCCGTATGATTTCAAATCTTGTAGTTAACAAGATTGAAAAAAAATTGGACTACAACGTTACATTGATCCAAGCCGATGTGAAACAATGCTGGAAAGTCGATGTAAGCTACAAGAAGGCGTGGCACGGCAGGAGAAAAGCCATCGAGCGTGTGTATGGCTGCTGGGAATCGAATTTTGTAGAACTCCCTCGTTATGCAAAAATTAATTAAAAATACATGTGTTGTTTGTCTGTCACAATGTTTATCTATTTATGAAACCGTTTTGTAATTTGCAGGTATTTTGCCACGCTTCAAAGAGCGAATCCCACCACAGTTGTGCAGTGGGAATGGCAGGGTGGAGAAATGGCGCATCAGTATAGGGACAGACAATTCAAATTTGTATTCTGGGCGTTTGGTCCCGCCATTTAGACCTTCCAACTATGCCCGCCGGTCATTAGCATCGATGGCACACATTTGCGCAGATCGTACAAGGAGAAATTGCTTGTGGCTATAGCAAAGACAGCGAATAAGCGACTATTGCCAATCGCCTATGCAATTGTTGATGAAGAAAGCAAGGATAGCTGGCCCTTTTTCCTTACAAATGTGCGGCAATATGT